ACTGGAAAATTCTAGAGTGAAAAATGAACATGCTACGACTCAAAAAACAAGCAGCACTTGTAGTGCCATTACTTTCGCCGGTGACTGTAATTTAATTTTATTTTAATTTTTATATTTCAAATATGATCTCATTAAATTTTCGCTTAAAAAAAATCTTTTTATTATAATCATAAATAACGTAAATTTAAATAGAAAAAACGAAATTAACGAAGACAAAAAACTATAATATAAAATTGACAATTGGAATTTCAAAATATTTTTTTTTTTTACATAGCATACAAAGAAGTTCTTAAGAATGGCGTCTTATCATAATTATTTGAAGTGCTTAAATTTGGTGGATGTTTGCATAGGTGTTTGTTTGTATTCGATAAAGAAATAATATAATCAGATCCGCGTTTTGGATCAAAAATGAAAACGATAAAAAGTTCAGAATTTGCCTAAAATAACCGGATTTAGATTTTTTTGTTCATTTTCTATCATTAAACATTAAACATTAAATCATTAAATATCTATATATAATATAATATAATAAGATTAGATTGAGGAGAATCATAGAGTGTCCATTGATTATCATCAATTAAGATAGGATAATCATAGGTTGTGCTTTGATAATTGTCTAGGCTGAGAGAATTATCGATAAAAGAATTATCAAATGATCCAGTGGGTTCATTGCAAAATTCAGTATAATTGACTGTGTTTGAAATGTCATGTGACATATGGTTCATATTATTATTAATGAAATATTCACAATTAACTTCATTACCATCAATATCAGTTGGAGGATTATGGTGGCTCATATTATTATTAATGAAATATTCACAATTAACTTCATTACCATCAATATCAGTTGGAGGATTATGATCCGTTGCAGCGGGAACAAATTCAACTGTTTTTTGCGATTTTTGGTCTCGTTTTATTTGATATCTTCGTTGGTATTTCATTTTCTCTCTTTCCGATAGTTTATTCCAACTAATTGATACCTCCTTGCTGAATTCGGTCATCGTCATATTTGTTTTTCTAGTCTTCAACTTTTCTTTACGATAAATCATGAACGGATTCATTTCTTTCTTTTTCTTTATTTTTCCCTCGTCTGACTTCTTAGGCAATCCGTTTGAAATTTCCGACTTTGTTGATGATGTCTGTTTTGCCTTTTTCGTCACAGACTTTTCGTTATGTTCATAATGTATCACTACCAATTCTTTACTCGATTCACTCATTCTGTCTAAAAATGAGGGGAAAGGTTATTTTTTTATTATAAAAAAAAAAAATGATATAGAGCTTTTTGAATCGTTAAAATTTAAAAGAATCAGAGAAAAAAATTTTTTCTGAATAAGCAAGAGAAAAAAGAGATGCCTTTTATAACAAAATAATTTATAGAGTCCCGATGAAAAGTCATCAGAACGTTATATTATTCAATACAAATACACCCGATCAAAATTTTAGCCAATGTCGAGGGATCCAATTTTCTATTTGTCCTTCGAATATATAATGATTACTATATTAGGATAAAATATCTAAATGAATTTACTTCAAACCTGTCTTCGGAAAATTAATTTCTTTTGATAGGGAATGATGATGACGGGCATTCCCTTCATTGAATAAGCTTCAAGGATTCACCGATCGTAAACATAAACAATGAGAAAATTTAATACGCCACTATTTTGGATCATCTGGGAGCTTGCTTAGCCATTTAGCCTTACCAATTAAGATCCGGATTAAGAAATCATAATTATTCCCATTTTGATTGACAATTCAATTCAAAATGTCATGATGTGGTACAAAACGAAATCGAATAGCTTACGTGATAAGTCAATTCGAATCATATTATTTCATGTGATGATCTCTTTCAAAAAAAATTATTTGACATTACAAATATGATTGTGGTTGGTGTTGAAACACGGGAATTTAGAGCTCGGGATCAAAATGGGTGGGGTTGGGGTAAATAAAAGAAAAAAAAAAAAAAAAAATAAGAGATGTCATTTAATGCAATGCACAGCCACCTATTGCGTTTATTATTAATTAAATTTGTTGGGGCGCAAAGCATTTAAAAGGGCATTGTTTTCTCGACTTTCTATTTTTCTCCTCTTGACAATGAGGGGGAAGTGAGGAAAAACAATTCCGGTCATTTGGTTGCAATATTTCATGCTGTGTAATTTGATCATCATTCCTAAAAAGTTTTATAATAATAATAACGTGATCATCTTAATTTCAGCCATCGAAAATTTTTTAGCCTTTTTCTACACGATTTTTTATTTATCGAAATGAACTTGAATAAAATATGTCGGTCTCCATTCGAGGAATAAAAAAATTTTCTTAGTGAAAATTTTTAAGTGCTATTTGCTTGTTATAAAATCATGTCATGTTTACGTTTGACGATCATGGAAAGATGGAAATGTCAACGTTTCGGACGAGTGAAGAAAGGACATGCCGTGTAATTTTAATTCAGAACTTCCAAAAGGAATGGCGTTTTAAGTTTAACTAACTAAAAAAATGTGATCCCAATAGATTTGCATAAACACATGGATGGTGAGAAGTTCCCCATGGAATGGAGCTCGGAAATTCTGTTTCTCATTTATTGTATTTTTACCTTGATTTACTTGATTTTTTTCCGGTGGACGGTAGTTTTTATTTTCCTATATTCAAGGAATGAAAAACTTCCCAATGTTCATTTTAATAATGAGATTTGTCTTTGAAGAGATTAAAAAAAAAAAAAAAAAAAAAAATTATAAATACGAGGATTTCTGATCACTTTTCGTTATCATCAAAATTATTTATACCCTTTTGTTAATAATAAACCATGCCCAAAACAAAATCAAAATCCTCAATTTCTGATGCTACTAAAAAAAAAAAAGCTACAAATGCATATTTTCAATACAGAATTTCAACAATAGACCCCGAGAATAAAAGTCAGATGAGAGATCATTCACGGGACAGCGCATCAGGATGGAAAAATCAAGATGATTCGCAAAGAATACCATTCTTTCAAGCTGCGGCCAAAGATGCGGTTGAGAAAGAAGTGGCTTCAGGCGGTAACGGCTTTACACAAAAATCCTTCGAGCAGTGTGGTAAATTTGCATTTGTAAACGAAACCCCGATCAGAAAAGAAATCATTCCTCCTTTGGCTAAAGAAAAGGTACAAAAAGTTCACAAAAGGGTTTTTATTAATAACCGTAGATCGGATGTTGATGATCATATCGTGATTAAAAAGGCTAAAGTAACGGATCCAATTGAGAACTGCGGGATAGTTCTCGGAAACACACTCACCACTCGGGTTCAACAGCAATCGGATGTCGACGAACCAAGCGTTGTTAAAAAAGTTGCCGATGTTCAAAATGTTTTATGTGAGGTCTCACAAAAAGACAAAAATTATGAGTACTTTGAGAAAGAAGCAACTTCCAGTGGTGGTAATTTCGCGTTTGAAAAGTCGATAGAAGAAGTAAGGATTTTTCCTTTGGCTCAAGAAGAGGTTTCAAACGATACCAACAGGGTAACTCAGGTTCAACAGCAATCGGATGTTGATAAACCAAATCTTCAAAAGATTTTAATTGGGACTCCACAGAAAGGCAAATGTAATGGTGATGATGATGATGATGATTCTGTTTCAAGTACTCTGTTTAAAGAATATACAGTTGATTCAGATTATATATGTAGAAAACAAAATGATGCAGCTTCATGCAGTAGTGATAATTTCGCATTTGAAAAGTCGATAAAAGAAGTAAGAATTTCTCCTCCTTTGGCTCAAGAAGGGGTTTCAAACGATAACAACAGGCTAACTCAGGTTCAACAGCAATCGGTTGTTGATGAAACAAGCGTTATTAAAAAAGATGTTATTGCTCAAAATATTTTCATTCAACCAACCAAAAGTAGTGATGATGATGATGGCACCATGATAAATATTGAAGGTGCTTCTCAAAAAAATTATCCATCAGATGAGGAAGACGATGTGTTTAATAAGTATACTCATGCGAAAGATTATATACCTGGAACAGATTTTACACCCGGTATCATAATTGACGGCACATCTCTACCCAATTCGACTCATTCAAGCTTCCATGACAACTGCGGAGATGGTTTAACTGAAACCCTCAACGATTGTTTTAATAATAATGATGATCATAAGTAAAAGTCTTATATTTAGGAACTTTTTTTTTTATTTGGAAAATTTGAACCAATTATTTTCCAAAAAAAATTAAAAATATTTTAATTGAGATATATTATACTCGTCCTTGCTGTTGGAATTAAAGAAGGAAACATGGTATATATCATTTAAATATAATAAGATATAAGATTGTGTGTATATGTAAAGTTATGAAAAATTATGTCATTTATTTATTTATGTATTTTATGTATTTTATTTATTTTATTTATTTTATGTATTTTATTTATTTTATGTATTTTATGTAGTATTTTGTATTCTGTTTGATTTTGGTATATTTGTTTTATTTCATTTGTATGATATGATTTATATGGATTTTTTAAAAAAAAGAAAAAAAAAAATTCGAAAAAATTTATGATACTCCCGAAATAATTATCAGAGCGTGATTTTTTGTTTATTTCCGCTTATAGACGAACTAACCATTTTAAGATTCCATTGTTTAAATTGAACCATATTATTACATAAATGAAGAGAAAAAAAAAAACCAACCAGCTTCGTTCAAATCCAAAAAAATTACTACAAGGAAAAACAAAGAGCCTCAAGTATTAAGAATAACAATATCAATTCTTTTTTTTTTTTGTTAGTGTAACTACCGTATTAGAAATGCTTTAACCTTTTACATATAAGAACCTTGAGCCATATTTTAAGAGTAACCGCCGATGCATCGGTCATCTTTTTTTTGAAAACGGCATTTAAAAAAAAATCTTAGATCAGAATTTCCGATGAGGACGCAATACATCATAGAATTCCATTAAGGAAAAGTTACACGAGTAAAAAATTCCATATCTACAAGGTTTCTCAGGATCACAAAACACGGAACAAGTTCAATTAAATCCTTGTGGTAGTTTGTACAATAAATATCGAGAAACTAAACAACTACAACAAATTATCTAAAAAAAACAAAACAAAACAAAAAACCTTCATATTCTATTTATAATAATATGGTACGCCTACCCTAATAAAAAGACCAGGAATTTTTCAGTAATTAAAAATCATTTGTCACCTACTATACATCACATGTGCACCACATTAATTCCGTGATGCCGGTCATTTTGTGACTTTTCTTGAAGGGTACGCAGGGGAAGTCGGAGACCAGGAACTGCGCATAAAACCTAGAGCAGGTTAAGGCATTGGATATCATACTCTATATGCAACCTAATTTTTGGTCTGGATCTATAAATAACTCAGATTATAAAAAGCCGTGACGCGCAGCACTGAAATTTGTTATCGCTTTCAGTAATAAAAATTCACGCTATAATAAGATTTTAAGAATGCAAACTTGTAAAATTTTATAAATCAACTTTCATACGTGTATGCGTTGATTTATTTTTTTTTTTTTAATAAACTGAAACGGGGCGCTAATAAAATATTTTAGGTTTTTTTTTTTAAAATGTGCCGTATTTTATTATAAATAAAATCGGAAATCCGATCGGCGGTCACGTTACTGCAATTTTTTTGGCGAAGAAAATTATCCAGAATCAAAAATCTGTTTCCATTTGATTTTACCAAAATTACCAAAGAATATATCACATCATCTTGAAAATAAAAAATTATTCATTTATCATTTATCGAACTTGGATTGCCAAGTTATTATATTATAATGGCCTGGGATGGAGGGATTGCCGAAAAAAGATTGCCAAAAAAAAAACCAAAATTAAAAAAATTGATTCATGCATGTGTTTTAGACAGAAACATATATGCGTCACATAAGAACCCATTTTTGATTTCTGCTTTCTATCCAAAACTAGACATTATTAAAACAAAAATTATTATTGCATATAGCATAATATGAATGTGAATTTCAATTGTTTTACGGTAACCTTTACGGGTAAACTTATGACCTTGAATACACAGTAAATGCAAATAATTTTATTTTACCTCATCATTTCCGAAATTCCGATTCAAGAGATTTTCTCATTCTCAATCTCATCGCGTAACTTTATTTAGGTTAAAAAGCTTCACTTTTAGTCATTGTGTTTCAACGTTTATCATCAAAGACGCGTAAATGTTGGGTGTCCATGTAAAAAGACAATGACATATTATTGTTCTAGATTTTTTATTATATTAGTTAAATCGGGATAGATTTATTTAAATATCTGCACCTGTGATTATTGTGTCATAAAGTTATACCTAATTGAAGTTCAATTCGGATGTTATTGGATCTTGGAAACTACAATTTCCGTATGGACGGGCGTAAATAAAAAAGCTTTCCTGTTTTCTTCGTCAATTTGCTTTGTTAATTTGCTAAAAATAAAGAATGATCATTTCTAAATTTAACAAAAGAGAGAGGGGAGGGTTGCCGATCAAACACCATAAATTGTATAAATTACATGACACAAAATGCATCGATTTGTAGTGATATGTTCTATATTTAAACTTTTATTGACCTTACCCAAAAATTCTTTAAAAATTAGTTTCGAGAAGAGCTGGATTCTAACCTAAAGCCCGTAATACAAATCTTCTTTTTGATAATTTTTAATTTCCATATTGGATTTATTTATAAATTTTTACATTAAGATGAGTGATTATTATGTAATGAAATGCATATATACAATGATTAAACGCAGCAAGCTGAGTTATCTGAAATTAAGAGATTTGATTGCCATTTCCTAAAATAAAGTTGTAAAGAAAAAGATGAATGTTGAATATTATTTCGTATGTGTTTGGAGTATTAATTCCGTGCTTTTTTTTAAAAAAAAAGTTCGTGGAAACGCAAGTACCCAGACTAATCGCCAATTTTTTTTTTATAAAAAACCTAAAATTTTGATGCGAACGTTATCGTTTTTTCCTACACAGATTAGTTCAAAAAAAAAAAAATAAATTTCTTCAACAAAATATCTGAATATGAGTGATAACATTAATCCATTATATCTTAACAATGATAATGATAATTTTATTCAAATCAATCCATTAATTCAAAAAAAAATCCGAACTAATGGGTTTATTGAGTTTCGAAGAGAAGAATGGAAGATTTATAAAATGGCCTACCCACAATTGACTTCTACGGAGTTTTCTAAAATAGCCGGCAAGCTTTGGGAAAATTTATCCCAAAAAGATAAAAATTTTTACTTAAAAAAGTCGGAAGAAAATAAACAAGGTGTAATTAGTGAATCAGAGGGTGAATCGGAGGGGTACCAATTCGTTTACGAGAATGACATGTCCGATTATTCTAACAATAACGACAATTATTGTGAGAATTGCGCCCCTCCCGTTTACGATTTTAATGAAGCGTTTAATTATTTTCCTTTCATGAATCAAGAAGAGATGCTTTTTTATCTCACACAAAATTTTTATTATGAAGATACCTATTATTACTATTATCCCGTTCCAGTAGATACCGATGCCAACGTCTATCAAATTGGTGAAATTTCGAATTCTCTTAACGAGATTGTAACCAATGATGAATATTTTGCTGCCTATTATCATGAAATGATGGAATGACTACAATGATATTATTTATCTGTATTACTCACCCCACCTTTTTAACACCTCATTTATAAGTTGGAAATTTCCTTTCTTTTTTTTTTTTTTTTTTATTATTAAGGCAAAATTTGAATTATCGTTATTCATCACATTAAACGGCAAAAAATCTATATTCAAAGATTTTCTTATGATTTTTCTTCGCTATTACGTTTTTCTTTTTCGCATTAACATTTCAAAATTACAATTAGCAACCATAAGTACCAAATTTTTTTATGTAATTAATAAGCAACTTCTAAGTTTATTTTTAACCCTTTTTTCTTAAAATGTTTGAACGTTCAAAATTCCCTTATGTTTTTTTTTTTTTTTTTAAAAACTGCAGTATTATTTCTTGTTTTTTTGACGACTTTATTTATTTATTTATTTTTATTTATTTTTTTATTATTATGCTTCGATTTATTATATATAATAAAAATATCATTTAAGCTTATCTGATAATTTGTTTGGTTACCATTACTCAAGAATAAATAAATAAAACCAACAAATATTTATGCATACAACGGTTGATCTTTAATGTCAATAATATTTATTTGATCATCGTGAATAGAAAAAAGCTTTGCCATAATAAATATTTTTCAAAAAAAAAAAAAAAAAAAATGAAAATAAATGATATTGTAATATTCATGTTAGTGTGTATGCGAAAAGGATGGACAAAATTCTAATATTGCTTGGATTTTTGAAATTACTGAAAATACTGCATAAATAATCCAATATAAAACTTACGACATATAAATGCGGGTTTTGATGATGATTTGTTTCTCCGACTTCAAAGGAATATTTTTTTTTTAATGAATACATGCTTGATAAATTTGTAAAGTTTGTAAATACGTGATGTTTTCATGAATTTCTTTGACGTAATTTAATAGAGTTTAAATCAATGGGTTATGGAAATGTAAAGCTTACATGTTGAAGATCCATCCATTTTTTTTTTAAAAATATCACTTACTTTGATATAACATCATAGATTAGGACATCAAATCTATTTTTCCTTTTTCTTTTTTTTTTGAATATATAATGATTTTATAGAGTAATGATGTGAGATTGCGACTATTTTATACACTTTCATGTATAAAATAAGTTTTAAAGCAGTAAAAGTCGCATGCGTACTGCCAAACCGACTTAAAATATTAAACTTGGAAATTTTCAATGATTTCGATACGTTGTGGTCGTGAAAACCAAATGTATGACAAATGATGTAATGATACATCTGGTTAAATGACAACGTTGTAGTACAAATTTCAAGAACTCTAAAAGTCAAATGTAAATTATCCAAACCGCATCACTTATTATATTTTTTTCATTTTTTTTTTTTATAAAACAAGACATTTTATGATTATTCATGCGGTATACTTCATCACGATGAATATTTATCTATATCGAAGTATTTTCTGCACATTTAATCAAAAAAAAAAATCATTTATGAACTACATTAAGAAAAGGATTAATGTCCAAAGTTTTGACAACTTGCGTTACCAACCTGTGGAACATGGAAACTTGCAGTTATAACAGTTATAATATAATGAGACGTCGTTGAAAAAATGTCACCACCATCACCCGCTTGTCTCATATAATTTGTCACATGTGTCACATCCTCATGTTTTTCATGTTGGGAAGACCTCTTGGAATGACCTCAACTGACCTCATATGACATCATCATTTATTATTTATAAATCTCAAGGTCATTAAAAGTTTTATGTAAATTATTTTTCAAGTTCTTTGTCCCAAAGAAAACGCATGTCATGTGGTTTAAAGAAGAAAGTTATTTCCTTATTTGTATTGATTCGAAGAAATTATAAAAAAAGTTTTGTGATATCATAAATATATTTAGAAATCAGATCTATTTTTGTAATTATATCTTAATATTATTTTGACTATATTAAATGTTTGTTTTTAATTTTCCATCATTTCATTGTCCAATGTTAAAAGCATAAATTGAGATTATTTTCAAGCATTCCGTCATTTGTGGCGTAGCTTTACATTTTATTCTTAGCGTTTCAAAGATCATTATTAGAAAAAGAAATTTGAGAGAACCTTTAGTACATTGTTCTATACATATATATTCTCAATATTACCTTCAGCTGCGCCTTGTATTTTACGTTTGAAGTCCTTGTTCCCAAATATTCGTTTCAAAAAGTGAGCATAACTCGAGAATTTTCTGCTTGAAATTATTTTTAAATTTTACTTACCATTAAAAACATGAACAATAAAGAATTCCTTTGTTCTAAGAATTAACCAAATCTTGTTTTAAATTGAAGACAAAAAAAAAAAAATTTCTTTATTAGCAATGTTGATTAATAATATTCCGAATTGTCCGAGGGAGGGAGTATCTTATCCGAAATTTCGATTTTATCACGGACCATCGTTACACGATTATAAATAATGAATGGCATGTAAAAATTTTCACATTCGTTTTTGATGTTAAAACGAGTTAATTAACAGGATGATACAATCTAACAACAAACAGGGTTTTCCAAATTTAACCAAGTAGGGTTTTCCTATTTTCCTTATATTTTTTTCTTAAAAAAAAAGGCAATTACGCGCAGTATGGTTGAATTCTAAACTGTACTTTTCAGAAATTCCACATTCTGTAGAGAAAGCTCTTATTTTTTCTTGGTAATTCGATTTATAAAACAAGAAGTTACTTTAAATATGAACAAGATTACATTAATGCATTTCATTATATTATTTAATGCATTGATATAATTGGATATGTCCACTTCGCAATAAATGTCTGCGAGTTGGTTTTTTTTTTTTCTTATGCTATCTTAAAATAGACAGATATGCATATTGATATTCGATATTCATTATTTATTTATTGTTTTAAATGGTAACAAATAATTGCTTAGTGATGATGATTATTTTTTTTTATATAAATACCACACAGGAATTTGATGCTATCTTCATCCTAGAATTCCTACAATTCAAAATCAATTCGAATTAATCGAAATTACATCTAGTACCTGTTCCTTTTCAATCATCAACAACGAGAATATTTAGAGGAAACGCTTTTTATAAACTTTTGATTTTCCACAGGAAAAATAATTTGTTTTGCAACTTGACATAATTACAAATAAACATGTCAGCTTTTATTCAAGAAAATCCACAAATGAAAAAAACGAGGCGCCCTAATGGTTATATTAAATTTCGTGCAGAAACTTGGAAAGAGCATAAAAGAGCTTATCCAAATGCAAGGTCGCATGAATATTCTGGCATCGCTGCAACCCGATGGAGAGAATTATCCGATGCTGAGAAAAACAAATATATCATGATATCCGAAGTGGAAAAGAGAAAAGTATGCAACTCGAAAAATGATTTACAAAAGAAAAAAGTTAAGCGCACCTACAAAAAAAAAAAAGGCATTCAAAAAAAATCGAAATCCAAGAGAATCGTAAAGGACGAAAATGTTTCGAAAATTGATGATTTCGAAAAAGACCAAATCACTTTCCAAGCTCAGAAATTAGACGGTATCAATGCTGATAATACCCATAGCAATCAGCAGCAGCAACATATGATATTGCCGGTTGTCCCCATTACCGTTACCGAAAATTCATACAGTCAAATTGGAATTTATAATGCCAACGAAACATTTTATCCATCAATTGGTTATCATATGAGTGATTATGACAATTATCAGTATTCTTCAAATATACCCGTCGTTACAACAACTGCCACGTATCACGACGTTTTATCATGTCCAGAATCGCAAAATTTTAATAATATTTCTACGAATGTTTTCAATCCTAATGAAGGAAATATTTTGATGAATACAGTTGCGGACTGTAACAACCTAGTTTATGGTGACCAAACCATGTCTCCTGAATCTTATGGGAATTACCTATTTCTTACGGGTAATTCGGGAACGTTCGAGAATTTCATCCCGTATTCATATTAAAAGATTTAGTTTCGGCTTTTGTCATACCGAAAGGAGTTCGTCGTACCCTTCAATATGATTACTTTGTAAGTAGATTTATAAGCATTTTTCTATGGTTAAGATTATATATTTCTTTATGTTGTAAGATTTTATATGATAAGGGCGCAGTTTAACTGCAATAAACGTTATTTTGTAAGGTTCCACCAAATATGAATCACATGCACATGCATATGACAATAAGAAAAATAAATAAATAAAGTCGTTTTTAAGGTACTTCCTTTTACATATACTACTACCTTCTTTTGAAACGATAAGTATGACAAGCCAGCGTCATGTTCGGGTAATTAAACTCAAGGTTTATGCTAGTTGTGACTTGATAAGAGTAAATTAATGCGTTAATGCGGTGTAATGATACCATGTTGAACAATAAGATATTATGACAACGCCTATTATTCAAAGCCATTAAGTTGGTGAGATCTATATGGTAAATGAATAAATTATCCGATATGCCATGCCAGCATATTTTACCGAAAGTTTTATAAACATTAACTCAAATAGCATTTATGTACATTCATGTGAACCATAACCAATCGTTTAGATTTGTTTCCTGAGTGCATGATACGTTTATATCCCGGACATTTTCAAATTTAAAGATTCATTTCGTGATCCATCCAAGAACAGATGAATTTAATTATTAAACTATACCAATCAATTTATTAATAATATCCGGAATTTTTTTAGATTTCACCCACACTTCTATTTAATAATGTGTATTTTTTTTTTATATTGAGGACAATTGGATTCGGAATGAAATAATATAACTAATAACAATAATAGAATTTTCATTTTCATTTTTATTTTTATTTATTATTATTATTTGCATAGTTATAAGGTCAGATCCCGGTCCTTGGGCGGCTCACATAAATTTATAAATATGGCACCGAGGTTGGTTACGTACATGTCCTTGGACGAGGACAGTCCCAGTCCTTGGACAAGAGGGTATGATGTTCTTGGTCGTTTGGGAAATAATATATATTAATATAAATATATATATAACACGCACTTTAGCAAAATTTAATCTAAAAGTTAAAAACTGGTAATATTATTATCTTATCATTCAGTAATCAATTTAGAAGATTTTTTGTAACTCTCGTTAAGCTCTATAAAATAAAAAATAAAAATCACTCAAATTGAATTAATAGATGGCGAGTAAATTGCAAAAAATTATTTTATAAACTGATTGGACGTTATTAATGAAAGTTGGGACATTTGTCCAAGTCCAAGCTATTTGTTGTCTTCCACATCACTGGTTACGACCACCCGATGAAAAGTGACAATGATTTTGTCAAGATATTTAATAACAATGAAATTTTATAGTGATACAAAGTTTGATCACGTGAATATATTGTACAATGATAAATGAATTTCATTAAGATTTAATTTATTATTATTCTGACACAAACTTATATAAAGTTTAATTGCATGAATTTTATAAGTAAAAGCAATGAATCATTGGTACTATATATTACTTTTTATAAGTGGACGAAACTGCACGCGAGAACACAATAAAAAAAATATAATTTACTTTATTGGTTAGCAAACATCGCAGTATTTATTCATGATAATGAGCCCTATAGTTACACACATTGGTCCGTTTAACGAGTGATATTAACGCTTCCTTCCGATATACAGATCAGTCGAATGAACAAAGGCAACATGAAAACGGCAATAATATCTTTTACTTATTTAATACCAGAAATGGTAATAATATTATCTTTACATGTTTAAGAATAGAACCATCACTATAAGCGGCAAAATCCGGATTTAATTACTTAAAAGTTAGGCGTAACCGGCGGTAAACGACAATTAAATCTTTTATTAAAGTGGAAAATATTTTCCGATACATACAGATTTCTTTGAAAGAAAAATTTTTTTTGTTGCATATTTAATTTGCGCCCTAATAAAATATAAAATAAATAGCATAGCATATACATATGTGTACATATGATTACATATAATGTCGATCCATTCCTTTATTTTACCGGAATTTTTGATAAACGATTTAAATACGAAGGAAAGAAAAATAAAATATATACATTTTTTTAATTAATAAATAACGATAACGTAACGGGTTCCCGACCAACATTCTCATGAAATGAAGATCGAATTCGGTGGTAGTGCGCCCTTATTAATGAAATCATCATCAATTTGATAATAATCGGTACCGATTGTATACTCGTCAAATGGATCCTTTTGATCATCTATTAAAGGAACTTTTGAAAGTTCATAACTCGTAAATGTCATAAATGCGACATTTGGTACAAAATCAGTCCCAATCGTGAACTCGTTAAAAGGATCTTCCCTTAAAGGTGTTTTTAGAGGTTGATGACCATCATTTTGAATGACACGTGCTTCGTTGAAATCCTCCCTAGGTTGAACTCTAACAGGTTGTAATTTTGGCAAACTTTTTGATCTCTTTACTCTCTTTTCTCTATTTTCACGTTTGTCTATCATTTCACCGGGATTTCTGGCTCTTTTTTTTTGATTCGGGGTTTCAATGACGAAAGAATAATCGTTACCATGAACAAACGTTCTTTCTACGGGTAATTGTATGCCAGTTTCGGTTTCTTTTCTAATTTTAGCTTCTTCGGCAATATGATAGTATTTTCTTTTCCCCTTTTCACCCAATTCATTCCATTTAGGTCCTGCTATTCTAGAATGTTCCACCATTGTTCGTTCTTGCGTCAGATCAATTTTTTCATTTCGAAAGTAAAGGAAGGCGTTTGGAGACTTTGACATGATGATGATATATATTAACGAGAATACTTTTTTTGAGCACACACTTCTTGTCAAAAAAAAAAAAAAATAAATAAAATGGTCACCCATTATATATCTTTTTCGGAGACACAGGATTCTACATATTTTTTGTTCTAGATAAAGTTTAATTTCATTCAATTATAAAGAGAAAAGGTCAAAAAGGATAAGACATCAATCAAAGACGCTCAATAAATTCCAAAAAGAAACTTTAAGGCTTTTTACTTTCTTCTGCTGTCGCAAGAAGCGATGTTTCCTAAATGAGGTAAATAACATTGTATTCAAAAATGCACCTCCGCATTCTGAAACTCCGTATGTAATGACAGGAACTTATTTTCCGATCAATATTCGATTATGTTATAACCGATGTGACATGGCGTTTTGATTTGTCTGATAACAGTTTTCATTGACAAATTTAACATATATATATTTATGTTTCGGAATTTAAATTAATTTAAACAAAATTTCATACAAGATATATTTTAAATTTTTTTTTTTTTCCATTACATTGTTTTCGAGAAATTCTTTTATAATGTTTATTTATATCTGATTCTTTTGAATACGCAATTTAAGCTTCAATCAATGAAAACAATACGAACATTATAACATTGATAACTTTCCTTTTTAGGTGTTATTAATAGGAAATCGGTTTACCTCCGTAAAAAAAGTGATGAAATTGCCAAAAATCATTCAAAAAAAAAAAAAAACTTACGATTTATATTTATTATTATTAATTTTTTTTTTTTTTTGCTTTCACAAGGAAAATTTGTATTACAGTTTCTCAAAAGACATTTTCTATTTCCTAATTTTAGTCAAATTACACGTGATAAGTTTACATGAACCGTGACTATGATTTAATTTCATGATGGACGCCAAAGTTGAAAAAGAGAACATCGACAAAGATAGATTTCATTATTCATCTAACAATGGAATAGAATAGTTTAATGGTTTATATGTCACGGAAAGGAAGTGTAAGGCTCAATGAAAGAAGACAAAGAGAAATAGCTTGCTTTGGTGCTTTTTTGTTTATCAAATAAATTGTCATAGCAAAAGCAAAAGAATGTTTGTTTATTTGTTGTTTGGCATATGCATAACCATTAAGGCAGGAAATCATTCATGATACGTACGTTTTGTTTAAATTAATAATCGCAGTTCATGTAATTAGATAGATTACTCGGTAAAATTAACGATTCAATCAGATCGTGCAGATTTGTTTGCTCACCTTTCCTACTAATGTTTGATTATAATTTATGTTTATAAATTATAAGATATATGAATTTCGCTTATGTATAAATACACTCTCGAAAAGTTTCTTCCTTTTTTTTTTTTTTGTTTTCAATAAAAAATTATGAAGGGAAAGCAGTTTGTGTTTGTTCCGCCAGAAACTCCTGAAGAAACTCCTGAAAAACGTCAGGAATCAAGGTTAAAGAGAGAACCCAACATGTTCATCTCTTTTCGCAAAGATATGATGAGATATAAACCTTATAACATGCCAATGACAAAATATAGCCAGCTAGTATCAGGATGGTGGAAAAAGCTCTCAAAGGATAAGAAATCTGAATTGCAAAAGCAATATCAAATTAAAAGAGATCATAACCGTCATGTAAAGTTAAATCAAGTTCAAACGCAAGGGGAAAGTCTCTCAAAAGTTGAGAACATTGAAATGCAATATCAACTTATATCATATCAAACTCAAGCGCCGGCAGATATAGAATATTATTATGTATATGGATATGACCCGGATTTTAATTATTGTTATGTCGAACCAGTACCAGTTCAAGATTTGGTCCTTTTGGACATTTAAATCTCGACTTGTTTATTTTTAATACCGAAATCTTTGAACCTGCATTTTTTTCGTCGAAAATTTTCTTTCGAAGTATTTGAACTCGAATTATTTTATTTTAATACCGAAATTCAATCGAAGACTTTCTTTTTTTCGAATTTTATATCAAAATCTTTATAATCGAATTTTATATCTTTCTTTTTAATCCGAAATCCTTTAAAAATATATATATATATTAGTATTCAAACTCGAAAAATTTTATATCAGCTATTTCGTAATTTTTGGGGGGTGGGATTTGAATTTATTCTTAAGAAACATTAAGAAACAAACATATGCTGTAATTAAGTTTAAAGTTAACGGTTTTATTTAAGCTATAATAAGTCAACCATTTCAAAATTTCATTCTTTTTTATTAAGGTTATAAA